CACTATGCCTGCCACTTGGTTATGTCGCTCCATGTACGCTTTCCCTGCCAGTATCTTGCACCCTGCTGTGATGTGCTGGACTGTCTCAGGGGCCTCCTTGCACAACCTACACCTTGGGTCTTGTCTGGTGTGGTAGATCTGGGCCTCTATTGCGCTGGTGTTTAGGGCCTGTTCCTGGGCGGCCAGGATGAGGGCCTCTGTGCTGTCCTTGAGTCCAGCTTTTTCCAGCCATTGGTAGGATTTACTGATATCAGCACTTGGGTTATTTGCTGGTGGTACATCCCATGTAGGGGCTTGTCCTCCCATGATGGTATCTCTGGCACCTCAACCTCCGTTCCCTGTTGTCTGAGACATTCACTGAGCACATTGTCTGTTGGGGCTTTGTCCCTGATGTATTTATGGATCTTAGTTGTTTCGTCCTGGACAGTGGTTCTCACACTCACTAGTCCTCTGCCTCCGTCCTTGCGGCTCGTGTACAGTCTCAGGGTGCTGGATTTGGGATGGAACCCTCCATGCATGGTTAGTAGCTTTCTAGTCTTAATATCTGTGGCTTTTATCTCCTCCTTTGGCCAGCTAATTATTCCAGCAGGGTATCTGATTACTGGCAGGGCATAGCTGTTTATCACACTGATTTTGTTCTTGCCATTGAGCTGGCTTCTCAGGACTTGCCTTATTCGTTGGAGGTATTTAGCTGTGGCTCCTTTCCTTGTGGCCTCATCGAGGTTGCCATTTGCTTGTGGTATACCTAGGTACTTGTAACTGTCCTCTCTGTCTGCTATTGTTCCTTGTGGGAGTGAGACTCCTTCTGTGCGGATCTTCCCCCTCTTTGTGATCAGCCGACCACACTTCTCTAGTCCGAATGACATCCCAATGTCAGTGCTGTAGATCCTGGTGGTGTGGATCAGTGAGTCGATGTCTCGCTCACTCTTGGCATACAGCTTGATGTCATCCATGTAGAGGAGGTGACTGATGTTGGCCCCATTTTTGAGTAGGTATCCATAGCCAGTCTTGTTGATAATTTGGCTGAGGGGGTTCAGGCCTATGCAGAACAGTAGCGGGGACAGAGCATCTCCTTGGTATATGCCACATTTGATGGACACTTGTGCAAGTGGTTTGCAGTTGGCTTCAAGGGTGGTTTTCCACAGCTTCATCGAGTTTGCAATGAAGGCTCTCAGAATCCTGTTGATGTTATACATCTGTAGGCATTCAATGATCCAAGTATGCGGCATTGAGTCATAGGCTTTCTTGTAATCGATCCAAGCATGCACAGGTTGGTGTGTCGGGTTTTGCAGTCTCGGGCAACTGTGCGGTCTATGAGGAGTTGGTGTTTGGCTCCTCTGGTATTTACACCGATACCCTTCTGTGCCGTGCTCATGTGTTTATCCATGTGTTTGCTTATCTTGGCCGCTATGATGCCTGACATGAGCTTCCAGGTTGTGGAGAGGCAGGTTATTGGTCGGTAGTTGGGTGGGACTGGACCCTTTGATGGATCCTTCTGGATTAGGATTGTCCGCCCTTCAGTTAACCATTCAGGGTGAGTCCCACTTTGTAGCAGCTGGTTCATTTGGGCTGCCAGTCGCTCATGGAGAGCAGTGAGTTTCTTTAGCCAGTAGGCATGGATCATGTCAGGCCCTGGTGCTGTCCAATTTTTCATGCCTGAGAGTCTTTCTTGAACATCTGTCACAGTGATGGTTACCGGGGCTTGCTCAGGGAGGTTGCTGTGGTCCTCTCGTAGAGAGATCAGCCACTGTGCATTGCTGTTGTGGGACGCCTCCCTTTCCCATATGCCTTTCCAGTATTGTTCAGTCTCCAGCCTTGGTGGGTCTGCTCTGTTGTTATTACCCTGCCATTGAGAGTACACCTCAGCTGGTTGAGTGGAGAAGAGCCGGTTAATCCTTCTGGATTCATTCTCCCTTGTGTATCTCTTTAGGCGGCTGGCCAAGGCTTGGAGCCTCTGTTTGGCAGTCTCGAGTGCTTAGCTGACTGGATAGCTCAATACATAAGGCATCAGTATATCACCCGAGAGGGCAGGGTTCGAATCCAGCCTGGGTCCTTAGGCAAGACCCTTCAAGCTACTGCCTACCTCATACCATGAGAGATACTAAGTTGCATAACATGCCGGCTCAGACGTCGCCCGGCCAAACAAGGTCTGCGTCAGGTGTTGGGGAACCAGAGCACCTTGATGACAAATGGGCTACTGGAACAAGACGGAAATGGGCGAGAGATGAAAATGTGGATCTGTTGGAATGCTACTACTCAAGTAACCCTAGTCAGAGGGGTTACATGCAAAGACTGGGGAAGGAATGGTTACTTCGACATCCCCAGTCAACACTAAGCGCTAAACAACTAGTAGCTCAGTGTTCCAACATCCGCAAACGGCAACTGCTATCACAACTTGAGATTGACGAGATACAACACAAATGCTACGGCAAAAGGGAGGAACCCGGATGTCAGAACTGTGGGGACTTAACTACAAGTCCCCACCCAGTGAGGGGATACACGGCCCCAATGAGCGAAACAGAGCTGAACGAGACAGCTGCTGACCTGAGAGAGAGAATCATGACCCGAATGACAACCAGGCCTCCTCGGCGCCAATTACAACGGCTGAGTGAAGTACCATCAGAAAGTCTCATTGAGAATGTGAATGCAGCATTGAGAACGATCCCTACCAACACCATAACAGAAACCAATGAGCTGATCTACAACTCAGCATCAGTATCTCCTTGAGATACTTGGCTATAAGAGCAACCATGAGACCCAATATATATATATATATATATATATATATATATATATATATATATATATATATATATATATATATATATATACACTACCTTTCAAAAGTTTGGGGTCTCCCAAACAGTTTTGTGTTTTCCATGAAAAGTCACACTTATTCACCACCATACGTTGTGAAATGAATAGAAAATAGAGTCAAGACATTGACAAGGTTAGAAATAACGATTTGTATTTGAAATAAGAATTTTTTTTTTTACATCAAACTTTGCTTTCGTAAAAGAATCCTCCATTTGCAGCAATTACAGCATTGCAGACCTTTGGCATTCTAGCTGTTAATTTGTTGAGGTAATCAGGAGAAATTGCACCCCACGCTTCCAGAAGCAGCTCCCACAATGAGCATCAGTGGTTGGATGGGGACTTCTTGCGTACCATACGGTCAAGCTGCTCCCACAACAGCTCAATGGGGTTCAGATCTGGTGACTGCGCTGGCCACTCCATTACCGATAGAATACCAGCTGCCTGCTTCTGCCCTAAATAGTTTGGAGGTGTGTTTAGGGTCATTGTCCTGTTTTAGGATGAAATTGGCTCCAATCAAGTGCTGTCCACTGGGTATGGCATGGTGTTGCAAAATGGAGTGATAGCCTTCCTTATTCAGAATCCCTTTTACCCTGTAAAATCTCCCACCTTACCAGCACCAAAGCTACCCCAGACCATCACATTACCTCCACCATGCTTAACAGATGGCGTCAGGCATTCTTCCAGGATCTTTTCATTTGTTCAGCGTCCATTCTTCTTTGTGATCCAAACACCTCAAACTTGGATTCATCCGTCCACAACACTTTTTTCCAGTCTTCCTCTGTCCAATGTCTGTGTTCTTTTGCCCATCTTAATCTTTTTCTTTTTTTGGCCAGTCTCAGATATGGCTTTTTCTTTGCCACTCTGCCCTGGAGCCCAGAATCCCGCAGCCGCCTCTTCACTGTGGATGTTGACACTGGTGTTTTGCGGGTACTATTTAATGAAGATGCCAGTTGGGGACCTGTGAGGCGTCTGTTTCTCAAACTAGAGACTCTAATGTGCTTATCTTCTTGCTTAGTTGTGCAACACGGCCTCCCACTACTTTTTCTACTCTGGTTAGAGCCTGTTTGGGCTGTCCTCTGAAGGGAGTAGTACACACCAATGTAGGAAATCTTCAATTTCTTAGCAATTTCTCGCATGGAATAGCCTTCATTTCTAAGAACAAGAATAGACTGTCGAGTTTCAGATGAAAGTTCGCTTTTTCTGGCCATTTCAAGCATTTAATTGACCCCACAAATGTGATGCTCCAGAAACTCAATCTGCTCAAAGGAAGGTCAGTTTTGTAGCTTCTATAAGGAGCTAAACTGTTTTCAGATGTGTGAACATGATTGCACAAGGGTTTTCTAATCATCAATTAGTCTTCTGAGCCAATGAGCAAACACATTGTACCATTAGAACACTGGAGTGATAGTTGCTGGAAATGGGCCTCTATACACCTCTGTAGATATTGCACCAAAAACCAGACATTTTTAGCTAGAATAGTCATTTACCACATTAGCAATGTATAGAGTGTATTTCTTTAAAGTTAGGACTGGTTTAGAGTTATTTTTATTGAAAAGTACAGTGCTTTTAATGACATTTCAATGTGACCCCAAACTTTTGAACGGTAGTACTACAGTTAAGCTGGTTTTTTTACACAACATTTGAGAAACATTAAAAATGCAAATAAAAACAAATAAATTCCTTCTTTCTAAAAGATATATATTTTATTGCCTAAAATGCAATAACAGTATTCATTAATTTGTTTTTTGTAGGAAAAGATGCATTTGCAGCTAAAAATACTTCTCTAAGTTCAGTCTTTTCTTCTTAACATCAGAACAATGTAGTTATTTTGCATTTAATAATTAATAAGCGGATAGCAAATTGGAGATTTATTTTAGAGAATCTGAATCAGGTAAAGCTAAAACTATACCACTGGAGGAGCTGTTTTTGTTTATCTTAAACATTAAATATATATATTTCTGTACACTTTTTCAGCAAATGACCTTTCATTTAGTCCCTACTCTAGTTAACTGTTTACTAAATTAGTTGACAGTTATTTTGATAACTGTTTCATCATGATTAATTGTTTTTAGTTGTTAGAAGTAACTCAGAGATTCAGAATCTTTACCATGTTGGGGTAATTTTATGCGTGGTGTGTTTTTGTTGGGGTAATTTTATGCTTGGTGTGTTTTTTAAGCCCGTACCAGTTTTCGGATCTCTGTCTCCAGGTTCTGAATGCAGTCCAGCTTCCTCTTACGGCAGCGCTGAGCAGCGATGCGGTTCTTGCTGCGCCTCCGGATGTCATGGATGAACTCCAGCTGTTCTGAGGTCAGTTTGTGCATCTTGATGAGGACCTGGAAGTCGTTGCGAGGCAGATTGGAGATCTGATCCACCGGGAACGGCAGCTTCACCTGAAAGAACCAAGGAGTTCAATCTGATCAGGTCCGATCTCACAGCATTAAGGTTTAGATTCATGGTAAAAGCTGCAGATTTAAACCACATTAACATCTTTACTGACAACTATCTCAGGATGCACTGACCAACAAGTTTTGACGTGTTTCTGCACCAAAAATATGACAGAAATCAATGTTATTAAATTACCTATTCTGCTTATAAGTTCAACAAGAACTTATCACAGAGAAGGGTGTGAACTATGAGAATGTATCATAAAAAAATATATATAATTACGAGAATAAAGTTCAAATATTACAAGCGTAGGTATTATTATTAACATATTACTCATAATATGAGAATTAAGTAGTATTGAATTAAAGTCCTAATATTTCGACTTTATCCTCAAAATATTTTATTCTTGTATTATTTAGACTTGTGTAATGCGCCGTAACAACCTGCAGGTGTCAGTGTCAGACTAATCAAATTCTGTTTGCATCTACGGCTCATATTCTACATTCTTCAACCATTCTGGAGCTAAATTGGTCTCGGAAAGATTCCCAAAGCGTACAATAAGATTTGCAAGCGCACAACATAACTCATGAATGTGTATAACACAATTCATAAATGCATATGTCAATAAATATAAGCTAGGATATCCAAGAATTAATATTGTTAAGGCAGAGGAAAAGCTAGGATATCTGAGCATTAGACATGGACTCTAATAGGTCAGAGTCCATGTCTCTGACTTATAAGAAAAACATTATTTTTGTGCAGCTTCTCAAAAACACAATATTAAAGGCATTTACATACATTGAAGTTTTGGGATTCTAAAAATATGGACTTAGTTGAGTTTTTTTTTTTTTTTTGAAAAAACAAAAACTGTGAATACTAAGAACAACAGCAGCGCCATCTTTTGGCAGCTTTTTAGGCTGTCACTCACAATGAACCCAATGCGGTCCGTCTTCTGAAGTGTGATCTTAATAAGCAAACTGAAAGAAGCTAACTACTAACCTCAGGGCCAGAGACTCTGGATCCACCTTCGCTGTCGCCTTCTGAGAACGATTCAGACTCATCGCTGGAGTTTCCTCCACTGGTACCAAACTCCTGCTCACTTTTGATCTTGATGTGGCCCTGGCTGAAGACAACCTCACTTCTCAGAGGCGTCCGGGCTTCCACCACGCCGACCAGACAACGAGGAAGAGCCGAGACTGAGCCAACATGTGGGGCAGAGGAGAGGTCAAAGGCCAGGCTGGACGGGGAGCTACCAGTGGCTATGTCATCTGGATATGAGGAGTGGGAGCTGGGAGTCTGAGTTTGGGGTTCGGATGGAACAGGAGAGGCAGCTAATGTCTTGATGGAGACAGGAGAGCTGGTGAGGCATGTCAGGTGAGGTGAGGAAGTCTCCTCTTGCTCCATAGTTGAGGTTTTTTCTCTGTTGGACAACGAAGGTTGCTCACCAGCAGCAGAGGAGAAAATGACGGTACGTCTGTCTGGCTCTCCTTCATACTGAGAAGACGTCTTGGATTGCTGCATGTCTCCATCATTGACGCTGTTGAGGTTGGATTGGCTTAGAGAGTCCATCTTACTCCTCTGCCTGTCTTTGAGCAGCTCCCTGTAGTGACTGATGGACAGATGGTTGGAGAGAAGCTGCTGAATGGTGCTGCCAGTCATGGTGCCGAGATCCAGGCCGCCTCGCTGGAGGTATGAACGCAGGCAGGAAGAGGCTAATTCCCCGTCCGCGGACGGCTTATCTGCAACTGGAACTCCCTCCACCTCCAACTCCATCTCCAGAACCTCTTCAGTACCAAACTCTGCGTTGAAGCCATTCCTCTCGTGTCCTGATTCATCAAAGGGCTCCACTTTAATCCTGGAGGGGTTGAGAAGGGTCTGGGGAGCAGCACAGGAGTCTGTCAACTCTGAACTCGTCATAGTAGGAATGGTCTGTTGACCTAATCCATTGTGCTTGTCGTCGCAAACCTGCTGCTGGTACTTCCAGGATTTTGGGCTTTGTGGAAGATCTTCATGAGGGGAAGCAGCATCAGCTGTTGGAGAGCTTTCCTTCTTTGTCTCTGAACCGCTATCAAAGGAAAGGTCTTGGGAAAAGACGGTATCCTCTTCATCGTATTGCACCTTGCAATTTCTGGAGTGCTGTCCGTCACTCTCCAACTGAGCCTGAAGAAACTGGAAGCAGGAATCCTCCAAGTTGTGCACACCAAGGAGGTCGGCACACAGAATGACCTCATGGATGTTTTCTTGACTTAACACCAGCTTGGCAGTGTAAGCGAACTGGAGCAGCGGAGCAAAACCATTAGCTGTCACCTGCAGAACAATAAACACAGTTTATCTGTAAGGCATATATTGGTCCAGGGATGCAAAAAAGTAAGCGACTTAACTGTCGATTAATGGTTCATTAGATTAAAATTAATAGAGCCAATTCACTGATAACGCCTGATTAGATATTCCTTTAGTGTTGTAGTTTGGACGCCATCCAGCAGAGGGCGCTGCTGGTCATCAATAAGCGGATTGACAGAAAGATGACGGCCATACCAGAATGGAAACAGTGAAAGCAGAGCCTGCAAAATGGACTTTATATTTGGAAATGAACATGCAACTATTTTACCTTCATGGCGCTGCATGGTGGAGGAGCAGAGGCAACTTCTCAACCAAAACTTAGATTTGCGTGGATGTTATGGCAGAAAGTGGAGGAAATTAGGCATAAAAATCGTAATATAACAGAAAAAGACACAATGCCAACAAGATCGACTGATTTTGAGTCTGTTAATATGTCTGTTCATGGGAGATTAAGGATATATTTTCATGATTTTCATCTTTTAATTTTCTACTAAGCAATTTAAGAGGTTCCTGTTTTGTTTTATTTAAAAAAATATATGTTTAATAATTTGGGTGGGAAACATAATTTTCTATTTATTCCACTATTTGATTGACTCAAAGTTAAAATTTAATGTTTTTCTAAAATTCAACATATGACAAATTTTGCCATGTATGTAAGTTCAATTAACTTTAGATAACCTTAATTGATAACCTGTGTCCCTAATCTGGTCTATTACTTAAAATCCTGCTAATTGTCCTCCTGTTTCATGTTGCATACAAATGCAAAAAGGCACTGTGAGGTATAAATAGTCTTCCTGCTGTGTTTATCTTTTGTGTCCTGAATGATTTGGTCTCTTTCAACCTTCATCATCCTCTGCTTCCTCCTCCTTCACTGTTGTCAGCATCATCTTTGTCCATCTGTGAGGTTTGTGCTCACATCAGCATCCCTTCAGGCTTCACAGCAGAACAATAAGATCACCAAACACGGAAGAGAGCTCTGCTTTAACGCGACTGGACAGATGGAGTTCAGACTGTCTGTTGCTTTGGTTTAGCTCTGCTTGCTAAAAACTTCACAAAATGAAGAAAAGCACTACCTCTCCATCCTGTCATTTTGCCCTTTACCTTGTCTGGCAGGCTGATGATGGGTTCAGCGCTGCCTGTCGACTCGCTGTGTCCCAGCAGGACCTGCAGGAAGTAGCTGCTGCTGGCAGCCAGGACAGCCCGGTGAGCCCGGACCTCCCTGCCCTCCACCAGCACCGTGACATCACAGAGGAGCCCCCGCCGCCGCTGTTCCTCCAGGCTCAGCAGCACATTGGCACAGTGCACCTTGGATTCGTACACGTACACCGGCGCTGACGCCTCGCTGTCATGCTGCTGCTCCGACATCACTTCCTCTGACACCCTGCACAAACTACATGCAGAACGAAGACGTTATCCATTTATTATAAATAAGTGCAGAAATTCAGATAAAACTGTTCAGGTTGAAGCATATCTAAATGTCTTGTTCTCCGTCCAGAAAGCCATCAGAAACAAATAGCCAAAACACATCTGTGGTGTGAAAATCACATGCTAAAGTAGGTCTGTCACAAAGGATGACAAACTGTCCCAGAAATTATTGCAATGAACGATAATATTGTTGTTTTTCAAATCATTGTCAAACAATCATAATGGGATAAAAATGCAGGTACACCCTCTACATTTTAACACTGCACTGCAAAAACACCAAATACTTTTGGTTTCGTTTCTAGTGCAAATATTTTCATACACTTGAAATAAAACAAAAATAACATTCAAATAACTTTAGCAAGATATAGAGGCTTGTTTTGCGTAAATAATTTCTTAATATTGATGAAAACATAATGAGATTATTTCACTTACAGCAAGATTTTTTTTCTCATGTTTTAAGTTAATTTGCCTGCCAATGGAACAAGTACTTTTTCTTAAATATTAAGAAATGATCTACATAAAACAAGCCTCTATATCTTGCTGAAAAGTTACTTTTAAGTTAATTTGTCCTATTTAAAGTGTATTAAGATATTTTTACCAATAATACTTGTGTGTTTTTGCAGTGTGGGACTGAAAGATGTTTGAATATCCAAATATAATTAAACAAAACAACAAAAATAAACTGGCAAATTTCTTTCCCTGAATTGGTACTTTTATTATCTATATTAAAGAATTATCTACGTAACACAAGTTTATCTTGATGCAGAGTTAGTTTTGCCTTATTTCAAATGTACTAGGATATTTGCACTAAAATAAAAATACTTGGTATGATTTTTTTGTTTTGCAGTGTCCTGCTTGCTGCTACATTATACTCTGAAAATCCTGCTGCATTCCTCTGTATCTTGCTACTAAGCCCGTCTCAATAATCAATAAATCAATTCATCGGATGACAAATTAAAATAATTCACATTTGCGTGATTTGACTTTAACAATCATTTTAGTAATTCTATCGAATATTTTGACAATTAATCAATTGGATAAACATCCTGCTGATTTTTCATTTGTCCACTTAAGCTTTTTTTTTTTAATTACAAACACGTTAAAAGATGCAATAAATAATTTAATTCCTTTTTAAATAAGAACATAAACATGTATTGCCTATTAAATGCAACAACACAATATTATTGTGTGTTATTGATCATTTGTAGCAAAGGATCAACATGTGAAAAGCTCAGGCCTTCCTGTTCAACTGATCTGATCAATTTTTGGATTAACTATTTAACAAATAAAAGATTTGTTTACAGAATTTGAACCAGGAGGAGCTAAAATTATGCCACCTGAGTAGTTCTGGTTAAAACATATTTTCAGATGAAAATATTTTTTATCTTGATTATAAAATGTTTCAACATTTTGGTTTCATTTCTGCTCTGATCGTGTTGATCTCTCAGCAAATTTCCTTTTTTTGAGTCTCCATTTAGAGATTAATTCAATTCTAAATTAGTTGACGATTATTTTTAAAAATGTATTAATCATTTCAACCCCAAAGCGTGCAGTTGTAGATCCAGGTTAAGCTTTAAAGAGAGCAGCAGCCGTGCACAGAGACTGCAGGCAGAGCTGCTTCTTTGTGATTCAGCCGTTCATAAATCCTCCCTGCAGACAGCTGAGTGTGCAGTCTGTGTGTGTGTGTGTGCGTGCATGTGTGTGTATGTGTAGGGGGAGCTTTGTGCTGAGTCAGACCTGCTGAAGCAGCCCACCTCTGAAGGCTCACTATGAATCCACATACTGATCATCATCATCATCATCATCTGCTGCGTCCGTGAGGATCACTAGAACAGCCACGCGTCACGTTTCCCATCCTGCTCTTGTGTTTTGCAATCTGTCTCCGCTCCTTTTCATCCAATCACACGACGGGTTAGAGGAGGAGTGACCTCTCAGGACTGACTGCTTTTGTTTCTGTTCAGTTTCCATTGAGGATGTTCCTTTCATTTAAAATGGAAGCATAACGTAAAATCAACCTTCTTATTCCATCATCTTCATCAAATTCTTTCACACGTGTGAAAAAGAAGTCCTTTTATCTCCATTGCAACCATTCAGCTGTGGAAAACGCCTGGATGGACACAGCATCACCTTCAACCTTCCCAAAATCAGCTCCTTCAGACTAGCCAGCAGCAATTAGCAGACATCTGTTCAAACTGCACATCAGCTGCGCTCATTACACAAGCTACTTCTCGGTGCAACATTGTAAAATCAGAAAATATTACCAAGTATTTTTGATCTAAATTCTAGAGAAAATATTTTAGTACATTTGAAATAAGATAAAACTAACTCACAAGTACCTTTTCAGCAAAAATAGGAGCTAGTTTTAAGTCAATAAGTCCTTAATATTGATGGAAAAAGTACCAGTTCCACCGGTAAATTATTTCACTTAAAGCAAAACATTTAATCTGAGTTATAAGTGAAATAATCGCCAATGGGAAAGAGCCGGACTTTCTTAAAGAGACAGAACCCCAATTACAAAATCTAAATTTCTTCATATATATATATAGCAGTGTTAAAAGAACTGAAGTTAACATAGTTACTTGATTATGCAATAAATTACTACTATTTGCCTGGAAAATAAATAATACAGCTTTTTAAAACCATATTGCTCTTCACATCTTCTGCCTCCATCCAGCTCTATGTTGCTCTAATGTGCTGCATCCTGTTCCTTCCCACCCCTGATACATTCTAGTCCATTAAGATCTACTTTCTACATCCAGACACATTCAGCAATATTCTGCTACAACCGCTGAAACCTGCTTCATTATGCTTCTGGCTAACTCTGGCATATTGACAGAAATGTTGTTAACATGCTCTGTTCCTGTAGTGGGTAAAATAAACAACAGCCTCTTTAACTGGGCGATATGCATTTAAAATTTTATTATAATATTTTGTGGTTCTATTGGGAAATCAACAAAAAAAAATAATAATAATTACGACAAGAGTAAAAAAAATTTAAGTAACTCACTGAAAAAACACAAAAGTACTTTCTGGTGCAAATGTCATTAAGACAAAAGTAACTTATAAATAACTTTTCAGGAAGATATGAGATATGATTAAAGTCAATAACTCCTTATTATTGATGAAAAAATACTAATTCCACTGGCAGATTATTTCACTTATAACATGGAAAATGTCTCATTATAAACAAAATAATCAACCAGTAGAACTAAAACTTTTTCAATTTGAGGAATTTTTAACTAAAAACAGATTCTTTTATCTTGCAAAAAAGTCACTTCTAAGTTACTTTGTCATATTTCAAGATTACTAAACTATTTGCAATACAAATAAAGACCAAAAATACTTAAACTTATTTTTGGTCTGATTGTATTTTTTGCAGTACTGTGTGGCATTTGCAACACGTGTTCAGATAATGTACTTAAAAAAGCTTAATTTATATCATTAAACTGCACTGGATTTAACTACATTTTGTAATTTGTTAATACTTATTGATAATTTCTTAATACAAATGGTGGAGAAAAAAGTAAAACCACATTTTGTGGCTGCATTGTTAATTTTTTTTATTTTTAATTGATATTAATCTAAATTTACTGGGACAACCATATTTATCTAGAAATGTCATATTGTCAGCATTGCTGGCTTTACTATTTTCTTTCCTATGAAATTGTCAATAGAGATCAATAAATACGACTTAATGCAGTTGATGTAAATCTCACTTCTTTACAAATGGGAATGTTTTTCAAAAGCAGTATTTGTGTTTGCGGAGCTATGCCTGCTGTCAGATTATCACTTTTAGCACAAAATGTTGTGATAAAACTTTAAGCTCATGTCTTATCCTGCAGTAAACGTAGGACAGGTTACCGTAGTTTTCTCACATTTGCAGCAATGAAATCCTCAGATTATTTAACCAGCAGAAACGCTGCAGAGAAGCAGATTAACGGGGAAAGATGCTGGCAAATCTGATCCAGAAATGACCGGCAGACATCCCAGATAAACATCCTGCTGTGACATCATCATCTCCTTTTCTGTTCGCAGACACGCTTCTCGCTGGGATCCGGAAACCTGAACTCTGAGGTCACGCGCAGCCTTCATCCTGAGGCCTGCCGATCCCTCCTCATCCTCTCCTGTATGGATCTGATGACACAAATCATCGGCGGCTGATTCAGATGCAGGACGAGAAGATTTTGTTTCTAATATTTCTCCTCAGCTCAGATGGAAAGAACCAGTCTGTCCAGGCTGGAAACCATCAGTTCAATGCCAAAAACTGTGAAAATACAAAATTGACCAACTGGTTTCCAGTGAAAATATCTTTGTACACTTTAAATAAGCAGCTTTTCAGCAAGATATAGGAGCTTTTCTGTGTTTAAGTGAAATAATCACCAACTGAACCAAAAGTTTTTCCATCAGTATTAAGAAATTATCTAATTTAAACAATCCCATATATCTTTCTGAAAAATTACTTGTTTTTGTCTTATTTTAAGTGTACTAAGACATTTGCATTAGAAACTAAACTAAAATTACTTGGTCAGATTTTGTGTTTTTGCAGTGAACCCTTGGGTTCAGTTTCGCCTGGGTGTTGGATGGACTCGGATCAGAAAACCCGGCCTGCAGGCGGCGGAGGAAGCAGAAACTGGATCAGACACCTCAGGTTTCAGGGAAAGCAAAGTGACATGAGTCACACATTAAAACCCTAATAGCAGCCAGACAGGAGCCAGACGCTGGACCCAAACAAAACCTGGAGAATCCAAACACAAACTGTTAGCGGCGGTTGTGGTTGGTGGTGCTTTCAAGGCAGAAAATGTAACAAATGATCAAGACTTGTGAATAAAACCTGGATATTCCTGCAGTTCCACTAGTTTGACTTTAATAAATACAATTAACTTCTCCATCTGCTTCGCTAACATCCAGGAAGGATCAGACTTTCTGGAACAGTAACTTTCAGAGTTGCTTTAGTTACAACATGTAAAGAAAAGAAAACTTTTTTTTAATATTTATGACAGGAATTAAGATGAGGGGAAGTTTACAGAAAGGCTTTGGACTGGAACGATTAATTCAATTAATTGGTTCATCAACTAACTAAGTAGTTGATTTAATAATAAGACTATTGGCTGAAATAACACACTCAGTGCATATTTAAGCCAAAAAAATGTTGCAAAAATTTTATATTTTGGATTTACTATTTTTTTTTAAATCTCTTTTTATAAATATATTCTACCCAAAACTCATCTAGTATCATAGTTTTAGCTGTATTTGTTTCAAAAAGTGCATCTTTTAATGTTTCTTATATTAAAAAAGGTTTAAGTGGTCAAATAAATCTGCAGAACAATAGTAGCATAGTATAGTAATTACTACGCTTATAGTAGTAATTGATTACTACTACTACAGCCCTGAAAGGCTAGTCTATAAAATAGTAGCTCAATGAAAACAACAACAACAAAACACAGTATCCACAGTAAAAACATTGTTGTGGTTGAATCACATGTAATAAATTTCCACATCTTTACATTAATTTCTACAGAGAATCTGCATCGATCTGTCTGAGTTGCTTCGCTGTTTTTGCAAAGAAAGAAGTACAAAAACTAAAGCTTTATATCTAAATTTGAGAAGCTGGTGGAGACAAAAGACTTGCAGCTGTGATTGGGGCAAAAAATGATTCTACAAAGCATCGATTCAGGTGGGAGAATGCATCTGCAAGCCACACTTTTCAGATTGTTATCGACAGAAGATTTGAGACTGTTGATGAGTTTCACTTTCCAGAAAAAACTGCTACCTTAAACATGCGACTGGAGCTACAATGATATGGTTTGAATCAAAGTATATCCATATATTAGAACGTCCTAATCAAAGTTCAGACCGGAATCCAACTGAGAATTATAGAGAATTAATTTTTTAAGACAATTTTCATCCAATCTGGTTGTTTTTTCAGACAAAAATGGGGGTGGGGGGCTGGGTCTAAATGTACAAAACTGACAGCAGCTCTAATTGGATCCAAAGGTGGTTAAATAAAACATCTACTCAGGACAAGTAAATATATCTGCAAGCCACACTTTTTAGATTTTATTAATACTCTACCATCTACTTCACAAATAAGTGTTTGGTCTATCATTATTTAAACTTTCCAAGTTTCATTCTGAAGGAATTTATGGTCTGCAAAAGAACAGAGCGATCCTGAACAACAACCGCACTGTAATTATCTTTTTACAGCTCTGACGGATCCAAACTCAGCGCACGAGCAGCTCGGATCCAGAACCAGCCCTTCCGGATCTGGACCAGCACCTGGACGCTGATCTGGATCCGTCCTGGCTGACCAGCAGAATCACCCGCAGCTCCGAGGAGAAGCTGGAAAACAAAGAGCTCATCCTGCACAACCAGGCGTGTGCGCGACACACGCACGCTGTCAGGCGCTCAGACTTTAAATTAGACGCTTTACGGTTCTGATGCGGTTCTGAGAGCTGCAGCTGCTGGTTCTGGTTCCAGCGGCTCGCCGCGGCTGCTGCACCGGCCCTCAGCGCTTTGTTCCCCGGGCTGAGGGCGGAGCGGCGGCCGCTTCCTTTGTCCTGCTCCCCGCGGAGTAAAACAACCGTGTGAACACAAAGACCCGCAGCTCTCGTGCACGGTGGCTGGGGGCGCGTGCACGGCCTCGTGTCAGGCTGGTAAATCACACCCAAGCACGGCTGGGTCGCAAGGTCCAACCGGACTCACCCAGCGGCTCCGAACCGCCGAGGAGACACCCTCGGTGGGACGCGTGCAGCCGCAGCGGCCGCTTCTGGAGACTCACCGGCTCCTCCTGCGCGTCCGCGGCCCGTCACAGGTCACAGCGGGTCCGCATGGTGCCGAACCGGGGTCTGAGCTGGACCGTCACCGAGCGCTGCGGGTCCGCATCGATCCGAACCCGGGTCTGAGTGTGGACATGGAGCGCGTTCTGTGATTCAGGAGCTGCTTTGTTGACATCGGTTCGGTGACGTCATGGTTTCCCCCATTCACAATAACAACCCCCCCCCCACCCGCTCCTCACTCAGCACTACACACACACACACACACACAATTAGAGTACCCACAAATTGTATTCAAGTAAGAGCAGCACTACTTCAATGTACTTTTAATCAAGTAAAAGTACAAAAAAAGTAAAATAAAATAGTAAAAACACTACTATAGTAACTGATCAACAAACTGTGATGTTGAAAGATTATATCATCAGAAGGCAAAAACTATTAACTTATTAGGATTTTTTTTTAATTTTAAGCATAAAATTTAAATATCCGTCATATTTAATATTTTAAAATACCGAGACGTGCTTCATAATCGTGAGAGAGAGCAAGACTTTCAGCAGATAACAGGAAGGCTAAACAGAGTATTGCTCAGTTTTATTTTTCTAAGCGTTTAACTTGCAGTTAGGACTTTAAATCTGTGGTATTTATTCACATAAGTCCCGGAAAAACAGCACTATAATTGTATTTAATCTTACTTTCTAATTTAAATTAGAAATTAAGTTGTGATTTAACTTCTTGTTTCACAACCTGCAAGATGAAAGCATGTGTGCAGGGCCTTTTTGGGACCCTGAGAATATTTTTATTATTATGCTAACTTGGTACTCTTGGGGGCCCCCTGGTGGTGTGCTGCATGTGTGACATGCAAAATCTGAAAGTTACACCTGATTGCAAATTGAATGTGGTTGAAGTATGAAGTGATGTAAATGGTTGTTATATTAAAATTTAGGTTCATTTAATATAAATACAAGCAGGCAGAACCTGCTCTACTTCAACAGGTAAAAGCAAAAAGTAGCGTTCCAAGAAAGTAAAATTAAATATGTATTTTATAAAAAAGAGTAACTTGTCGGACCGTCGAATTTAATATCTTTAGACAAAGATCTTTAGACAGACAAATATAGAAATGTATGTGCAAAGTGAAGGGAAACATAACTCAGTTCCAAAATACATATTTAGACAAAACACTTCTCCAGATCTGCTTTTCCTTTATAAAATGTCTGAAACCAAAACTTAAAGTAGTTGTTTTTTATTTATTATATTACAACTGAGTAAAGTAATACTATAGTGACAACATAAACTGTTTACTGCATCATTTTGATCTCAAAATAGAACATTAAAACAAAAATTGTGTACAAACCAATTTAACGTACCATCAGTTTGTTTCTGCATCTGCCGTTTTTATAAAAACATGTCTGTTCTTCATTTAGTGAACTTACTGGTGGTGGATAAAGTATCCATTAATTAGTAAGTTTACGCATACTTTATAAAAACATTACTCAAGTAAAAGTCAAAAAAAAAAAAGTTGCATAACCACTTGCAGAACAAAAAGTTGTCCAAAAAGTTACTCGAGTGAATGTTACTGCGCACGTCAGACTCAAAACTTGTCTCTAAAAAAATTCTCCAAGATCCCATGAAGAAGAACATTTCAACTGTTTCAAACTGAAAGCTGAAACCTTACTGTTTCTCCAGGAGAGGACTGGAGACAGATTCCATTTTAAAATATTCCATACGAAAGAGTGACACCTGCTGGTCTAAAAAAGAATTACATGAGGTAAAGAAAGTTTGGTGTAAAATGTTTTCTGTTACAGCAATTGCTCAACACTTTGGAAAGGAAAATCTTTTCCTCTTTTGCAGTCAGTTTGAATGGGTAAAAATAAAATATAAAAACTATAAAAATACAAAAGTATAAGTATATAATTTAGGAAGTTCAGTGGGGGAACCTTAGTAAAATCAGTGCTCACATTTCTCCAGCTTTTAAATCTGTAGTTCTTTAGCTGATCTGAGAATGATCAGTTCTTTCAGATCTAACTGTGAAGTTCATCTGTTCACCTCAGGATCAGTTACAAACTGCTGGTGAGCTGCTGAAGAAACAGGTCCAGGGTGATGCAGATTTGGACCCAATACGTTACATCTGAGCAGAATCAGAGGCAGGAACATGCTGGGTCTCAGCCGTAGGGCTGGTTCTGACTCTGGATCAGACTCAGTCTGCTCCTCAGGTCCTGGCAGACGGCTGACAGGCTGCTGTTGTCCTCCAGCAGCTTGTTGTGTTCCTGTATGAGGCGTGAAGAAGTCTGCTGCTCCTTCTGCTCCTGCTCCAGCTCCGCTATGAGCTCCTCTCTGAGCAGAAACCAGCAGAACCAGGTTGGCAGGAAAAACCATTAGTGCAGCAGATAACCAAGTGTTTCAGCAAAAATCTCTCACATGCAGATACAAGCAAAGGTCTCGCTTTTTTGAAAAGAAAACTATGTTAGCCACTAAAAAAATCAAGATGGCCACAGTGATTTTTCAAGATAGCCACTAAAGTTCTCATAGAAACAAAATTGTGCATTAAAATCAGCAACTAGATGATTGTATTTGGTGTTAAATCATTGTCTACATATGTTGAAAGATAAAAATATTTTAGATTTTCTTGATCTTGTGTTCCCTTTTTCCATTTTCAAAATAGTCACAGTGCTTGTAATGGAGAATAAATGTTTGCAGCAGTTTTCCACAGCTAACCAAAAAGTTAGAATCATTAATCACTTTGCTAAACAACAATGTTAGCTCTGGTAATGCTAAGCAGCTAACCACATAAAAATGATCAGAAGCTAAAGTTAAACATATAAAAATAATACCATAAGCCAATTCTAAACCACTAAGCACATAAAAAATTAGCTAAAGCTAATGCTAAACTGCTACATCCATAAAATATAGCATAAGCTAATGTTAAATATATTAAAAACTAGCAGAAGCTAATGCTAAACCAAGAAGCACATAAAACTATTAGCCAAAGCTAACGCTAAGCCGTAAACATATTTAAAATAATTTGCAGAAATTCAAGCTAAACCCATAAACACATTGAAAAATTAGCAGAAGCTATCGCTAACCATTAAGATGACTGTCTCAGTTTATGTCACATATTCATCTGGTGTGAAACTTGCAAACCGCAAAGTCCTCAGTTTCTGATTTTGCGACATATTATTACTTTAAATTGTACGAGCGAGATAACATGACAAAGTTCATCCTATTTATGAAATCTGGGAATATTTTCAGGAAATTATTGGTTTAAAAGATTCAAAGACGGCGGCCATCTTGAAAAATGATTTCACTGCGACAGTGATGGTTCAGATGGACTTAATGACACTTTTCTAAACTCTTGACATCGCAGGAAGATATAAAAAGCTCCAATAGGTGGAAGAAAACGTACTTCCTGTTCAAAAGGTGTGCGATCTCGGATTGGACTCTCAGATACTCCTGAGCCATTCGTATGTGCTGCTCAAACACAGTCATGGACTCCCGGGAGTTTGGACAAGGAGCCAAAGGCTGAAGACAGAAACAACATAGAAAAATCACAAGAAGAAGACAGAGAAGACTGAGAATCCAAGAAGAGATTTTGTTAGTTAATTAGACGTTGATGCACCAGTAGATGGGACATTTGGTTACATTTAAAACAAAGTGTACAACAGTGGGAAGTACTCTACAGTTCACAACCTTTAGGAAAAACCCAGTGATGTGAACGTACCTGTAACTGATGGTCCAATTTCAGGTAGACGGAGGGAACCGGGCTTTCTGATCCCTCGGTACCTGAACACGTTAATGTAACAGCAAATATTAGTAACTGTGAGGAAACAGCCACAAAATGACATTAAATTAATGTAACAGTCACTGTAAATTAATAGTAACATTAATCATTAAAGTTAATGTAAAGGTAGAAGTGAAGATATGTAGCAGTAACTGTATCAATGAAACAATAAAGTAACATAATTGTAAATGTAAAATAAAGGCAAAATAACAAGAGTAAAGTAACAGTGACAAAAAAGTAACAGAGTAGCAGTCATGTTATCTCGTCATAATGTAAGTTACAGAAAAAAAAACAAATGCGAGCCGTGAAAGTAAAAGTATTAGTAAAGTAAAACAACTGTTAATAAAACTACAGCAAAATAAAAGCATCAGTAACAAGAACAACAGTAAAGTTATGAATAGTAACAATAAACTAACATAATAGAAAGTCAGTACTAAAAAGCGTAAATTGAAAGTAACTTTACAGAAGCTGTGAAGAAGCAATAAAGTAACATTTACAGTTACAGTAAAGTTATAGTAACACTACATTTGTGAAACAAAAACAAACTTAGTTCATTAGTCTTTGCTTCTATAAACCTCCATCTGACCCGATGCACCTGCAGGAGGCGCTCTCAGTGGACCTCACCTGGGGTAATGGTCATCCTCAGCTCTGATTGGCTGCAGGCATTGACAGAGCTGCTGAAGTGGGCGGGGCTTTGACTCTCCAAGCTGGAGGTTCTGGAGACGGTGGCCCACCGTGACGCAGTCTGGATGAGAGAATCAGAACATCAGTCACTAATATTCACAAATCTCTGGCTATGCTCTGCTAATGTCGAAATTACACTTTACATTAAACAGTTTGTTTATTTCCTGTTACCTTTGGAGTTCTGACCTGCAGTGGGATTCTGTTCTCAGAGCTCTGCAGCGTTTCCTCGCCGCCAGATGCAGATCTGTGTTTGCTGTAAATGGTTCCATCGGCACACGAGCCTGAAGACGGGACACAAGACCCACAGAATCGCTGATTATCACCACGAAACAGAACCAGATTCTGCTGAGCCTCACAAACACAAACAGGCAATTTTCCTTCATACACTTCATCCGTACAAACTTTAAACTTCAAATTTCAGCTCAGTTTTCTCAGAATAAAAACTCTCCGCTGTTTGAGCCGGTCCTCCGGGTGGAGGCCCGATTGGGTTTCAGTCAGAACCAGAGACCCTGGAGTTTCGATAAAACATCTGTTTTTAGTTTAATCAGAGCGAAAACATGAACATTTCTGCTCAAATATGTAAATATTTATAACCAAAAACAACTGAACATTCTTTGGAAAAGCTGTCAGAGATTTAAAGTAATATTCACCTGATTCCTGGAGCCATTTTATATCACAATTAAATAATTATTTTACCTTTCAGTTGTTATAAAAATGCCA